ATATAACACACGGGATAGGGTTTAGAAGGGTTTAGAAGGGTTTAGAAGGGTTTTGAGGGTTTAGGGTTTTAAAGGGTTTTTAGGGTTTATGCAGGGGGAGAAGTGGAACTAAATATTTATAACACTCACAACCCTAAACCCTAAACCCTATCCCCCAACCCCTAAACCCTAAACCCTATCCCCCAACCCCTAAACCCTAAACCCTAAACCCTAAACCCTAAACCCTTACAAGTTGGAGTAGGGTTTTGAGTTGTCGTNCCCTAAACCCTAAACCCTAAACCCTAAACCCTAAACCCTTACAAGTTGGAGTAGGGTTTTGAGTTGTCGTATGAAAGCCGAATGAGTGTTTGTGATTTGTTGTATATTATTAAAAAAAAAAGTTTTTATTTTATTTATATTTATAGAGAAGAGACGATAGATATCTTCGTTTCTTTTTTTTTGTATATTCTCTATTTCTTTATAAAACCCTTGGAGGGTTTGTGTTAATATTTTTTTGTCTTCTTCTTTATCTATATATTCTGTTTTTAGGGTTTTTAGTGAGCTGTCTGTACACCCCATAAATATTTCATGTTCTTCTATTAAACACTCTAAACCCTTCAATGCATCTTGTTTCTGCTCCCGCATACACACAAACCCTAAACCCTAAACCCTAAACCCTAAACCCTAAACCCTAAACCCTAAACCCTTGAAATATGTAAAACCCTAGAAATATTGAGGGTTTATACGGCACAAAAAGGATTATATTTTACTATGAAGGATACTTGCTTAGATGCACCAAGGGTTTACACACTGAATTAGGGTTTAGGGTTTAGGGTTTAGGGTTTAGGGTTTAGGGTTTGAGGTCAGGCGCTTTAGGGTGAAGGCAATGTAGCGTCTTTTTGAGGGTTTACAGCTGCTGAATTAGGGTTTAGGGTTTAGGGTTTAGGGTTTTTTCTGTGGTGGAGCACAAGTATAGGCCCCGAAGCCACCAAACCCCAAACCCTAAACCCTAAACCCTAAACCCTAAACCCTTACTTTTATCTCCACCGCCTCCTCTATCCATCCCC